AAGATAGCTCCTGGGATTGTTGTGGGGATATTTTCAGCGCTAGTTTGATTAGAGAAACAAATTCCATTCCCCTGATAGACCTGTGCAAACTTCAAAGGCTTTTATAAACCCAAAGTCTTTGGTACTTCGTCCCAAAAACAAGCTACAGTTTTCAGTTGTGCCGCTCTTGATGCCAGTACGAGCTCTCTCTTTGGTTATTGCTAGTAAGGTGAGTCGGAGGAACTCGCCTACATATATATACATACGCAGTTGCTGTGTGCGGCTTTCGGAATCATTAATGTGGGGGAAAGTCCCACGATCTTTCTTCTAATGATGCTGAAACTACAAATAATGTTACCACTCGCCTCTTTAGCCTCACTATAGATAGTAACGTGGCTTTTTCGAGTCGTTTATTCAAGTTAAAGGACCCGATCCCATAATAGTCCCCATCTAATGCCATTAATATCAATATAACACTTAAGGATCTTTCAGGAATCTCATGAGATCTAGGTTTTGAGAAAGTCGCACTTAATGGCGGAACTCATAGAAAGTTGCATCCCTGATGCGACTCTTAATTGTACAGTTCACAATGGAAATGGTTCTGTGATTTTCCCCCAGAATGAAAATGTGACCCCCGATGATGGAAAAAGGGTAGCTGTCGATTCGAAAATAGGCCTAGGTAGGGGTAACGAAGGCCCCAAAATCGACTTAGCCGGCATACACGTATACTCACGAGTTCTCACAGGGTTGTAGATGCTCCAGAGGTTGCACCATACGTACCGGGAAGCACACTTTACCCATAGGTAGATTACCGTAGGGTCAGGCCATGACATACACATTTGGAAAACTCGTCCAAATACATCTTCTATGCAACTTCTGTCGTCTCATTCTCGTGCAACCCTTGTTTTTACTGTTTTTTCGAAACCTTCCATCTCCCTGATTACTCCGATTTTTGCGTTTTCTTCCCCACATTCGCACTATTCTCAACTATAGCTTCGATGATTCGTCCAAAACTAGATACCACAAAATTATCGTGAATTGTTCATCAAAGAGTGAATCGCGACTAGTTTGTACAAATGGCTTAGTAAATTTGGGATAACTAGATTTGCTACTCCAAACTACCTCTTCGTCTAGCCTTGTGGAAATTGATTTACTCTTTCAGAGAGCTACAGTACGGGTTGACTTCAGTACAGGACCAATTTTCTGCTACTTTCTGAATGAGTATTCGATAGAAAGTCAGTCTTATCGCATTAGCCAGAAGGTCCATTACTGAGTTCAGCAACGAAATCTTTGTGCTGAACCGACCACCAACGGCCAGACATTCCTCTTCTTGTAACAACTCACTGTTCATTCTTTTCACTGCTGGTGAACCTTTGAGTGGTGGAAATGCCTAATCTCAAGTTTACGGCAACTTCTGGCAGAAGTCTTTTGGGTGACCAGGTCAATCACGGTGAGAAACAAAGGGGCAATGAAAACTTCAGTGAATTCTTCTCGTTAAGCGAGTAGGTAAGAGTATATCCGATTTTCGTCAATGAACATAATCCTCTTTATTTTGCACCTCAATGAACCTCTGAGACAATACAGTTCGTGCAACCACAACGTTTATCTGCTCAGACAATACGCGACCCAAGTTCATGCGGTATTATTTCCCTTCGGTTCATATACCGACCTGATTCTGCTGGCACTCAATTATGCTGCCTATCTCGAAGGAGAGCACCTGACGAACGTGTAGGGTGTAGACAGAAGTGATTAAGCCGTCTTTTCGATGGAAGAGCCTCCTCTCAAATTTGGCATGCATACGTACTCGGACTATGTACTAGTCCCATAACAGCAGGAGCTACTCGAGTGCATATGTCGTCCTGAGCTAGCCATCACTGCTATTTTCACATTAGGCGTGCTTTGAAGACTGCACTCATCCTAAAGCGTGTCTCAAGTACCTCATATACGGATGCATAGTGGAGTAGGTGAGAGGGGGACCTCGAACTGAGCTGTTTGCGCATCATTCTATTGAGTTCTTTCAAATTCGGTGCATATTGAAGCTTTTTTTCTTGTGATGTGGAAATCCCAGTAGTGATGAGGGAGGGCGCACATCAGGAACGTCCCGGCGACGACGTTTATGATGTGGGTACGGAGTTACAAAAACTCGTGAAGAGGAGCTCTTGAGATAGTTTCCAATTTCTCTCCTGCTTCCCAGATACTTGAGATTCGTCACTAGTTTAGGTTTTCATAAACGTTGAGAATGCGTGTCAATAATCAACGGGCTCCTGCTGTTAACGTATTCATGTGCGTATATATGCGATATAGTCTAATGGCTGCACATCATATTTTACGAGCATGTTGGTAGGCTGACTAGTCGGCTTGGGGAGCCTTCGCCAGCATAAAAGGGTTTAAGCCAAGTGTCAACAGAAAACTCCATATAATAACAAAGATGGGATCAAAAATCTCCTGAAAGTTACTGGGCAATCAAGTTTTCTGATGAAAGCTTCTTCACTATTCTTCCCTTGGAAAAGATGAGGCAGACGAAAGGGCCGGGGTTATTAAAAGTGAATTTCAGCGAAAAAGATTGGAAACTGAAAAATTTTACAGCTCTCAAGGTGTTTATGCTCTTCGCCACATGTTCGCTTGTCATTCTGGCCCCCGAGAACCCATTCCGGCGTCTGAATTCTTCAGCTGCATTGTGTTGCTTTTCAGGAAATCTCCGTTTAGCTATGGTGACATTGTTGACCATATCAGCGGCCAATAGACCCTTTTTACTTTAAAGGATGCTCGGCTGTCGATGTTCAGAGACAAGCATAGAGACTTCCAACCACCCTCTTAAAGAACAATGGCGACCAGAATTAGGTTACTTGCAAGTATCTTTTGAGGGAAACTTGACTATAGGTCAGCTACCATCGAGAATGTTCATACTGGACAGTGAAGCCTTTGATATAGGCAGTTCTAAAAAACTAAGAAAGAAAAACTAAGGAAAATCGTTTTCAGTTCCTCTGTCAAGACTGCGGTGAGAGTTTCTCAAGGCTTGATAACTCAATTGACACCCGATTGATTACTTCCGGGGTGCACACTTGATTTGTTGACTTGAACGGATAAATGACTACGTGCCAGGCGTTGGTCACTCCTTCTGCCGTTGCATATGATTTTTGTGTCCTTACAAAGTCATGCCTCTTTCTACTGCATATATACAGATGTGTAGAACGATGAAGAGTAGTGTTACGCTGCATCTTGCAAGACATCTTCAAAACTTCCAAATCCAGTGAAATACTGCTTTCCTAGTAAAGATATGGGATCGAACCCAAGGGAAAGATCGCGATGAACCGCTCATAAGAAATAGTCGTAAGTAAGGTCGGGCCAGGTAGCACACTACCACACATGTTCATGATCCGGAACTCGAGCGCCGAAGTGATATGTACGTTCCAACGCCGGTTAAGCCTTTCGTGCCTCCGGGATCGACTGATTTGAGCCAGACCTATTCAGAAAAGATATCAGCTCTGGTCTGTCCATCGGCTGGCCTTCGCAGGTCATTGTATTGGCCAAAAACGCATCCGAAAGCCCCTACGATTCTGATTGAAGTCGAATGCGTGAACCAACCCCCGAATGGGATCGATCAGTGCCGAAGAAATCTCTGTTTCCTTCTCCTTCTTCCTGTAACTATGAAAATATTAGCTTTTTTTTCAGGCTATCTTCACTGAGGCCTATGCTGTATTCAAATTGCACTGCACAACAGTTATGAGACTTTATAATTTTTCGAAAGTGGTAACAATGTTTACCACATACATATCTACTTATTGTTTTTCTAGACATACTCTCCAGCTACCCATTTTTGTTAATATTTAACTTGTGCTATCATCGTCTCACCATCAGGCAATTCTTTCATCCAAAGAGTGCCCAGCAGACTTTTCTGATTTGAATAAACCAAAATTTACAAGTAGGATATAGCGATCCTATTGCTTCTTGAAGTTTCAAGTGGGTGGATTATACGCCATGAATCGGTCACCATCTTTTCGATGACTTTCGAAACAGTTTTCAGTGTGACACGATCTTGTAATGACCAACCACAAATCATCTTCGAGACCTTCTTTAGTTTCTTTTTATTTGACGTGCTTTCTTATTAATTAAAATAGTTTCCTGTCATCCGATGCGGGCACTTGAAAGGCACAGTTCACGTTGACTTTTAGGTTCCCTTTTTAGGTGTAAAAACGGGAGTGTTTATGTGGAGGAGTACATCAGTAGCGAGGAAAGCGTTAAAACTTTTTCAATGGTTTTTAAAAGTAGTGAAAGTGGAGGTTGAACGAATCCACGTGACGGGAATGGCATGTAAAGGGTGTTTGGACGAGATTTAATTTGCTCCCATTGCGCAAAGAGATGACCACATCAAGCCGAAATTGTTCGAAACTTCCTTTCACTGTTGACATGGATTATGACGAGTTGTTTGAACTTCCTTCATGGGAGTTTCTTGAGATAGTGCAGCCTCTACAAAGCCGTCGAAACTCATCCGCTATGGGTGCGGCATTCACACGATACAATCTCTGGCTCCTTATTCTGCCTCATCCACGACGTTTTTCGACCTCATAACTTCAGGTATGATACAAGGGGGAGCTTCGAATTCATACTATAGGAAGATCTCAAAAACAACTTTTATTGTAAACTGTCCCTTTGCGATGAGACGTACCATTTTTTTCTGGCCCTAGGCACGCACTGTCAGGGGAGATTCTTCTGTTCATAGTAATCCAGTTGACGCCAATACATCAAACCTCATTCTACTCCTATCTCTACTTAGCCTTTCTAGTATTTTCTGAATTTGTTTACTAGTTGTTTCTATTATTTGATAGATCACATACTTGGATACCTGTCGTGTAAATAGTAAAATAATAAATAAATAAATGAACAAATTAATTGTGATGACTAGATTACTTATGAGAATCCCTTCATCTGTGATCTCGTGACAATTTTCTTGTGCCGTTTCTCATTTCCTACAGTAATCACATCCCAAATCTACCATTTTCAGTGAACTGATCTGAGATGGCATGTATTCGTCTCTAACTATTCTGTGCTGTATTATCAGTGTCTGCACTAGTCAACCTCCTGATCTGAAGGCGAATTTGGTCGCCGGTCACTCGCGCAAAACGTTTCGGCCCTCAGCGCACGACGATGGTCTTTCTGCGATCCTTACCGACATACAACAGGTACGGCTTGCACCCGAACTGATTTTAATACTTCAATACCTATTACGGTTTTTCAACGTTGCTTCACCAGCTATTACTGAAGGATACTTTTCGACTGCACCGTTGGTACCCCCTATTTTTTCCAGTCACTTCATCTAAATCATAAATTCTAACGTTGTTGTTAGGGTTTTACTTTCTTTTGTCGGGGCCCATTATGGGAACCCTAGCCTTTGTCTTATCTTAGGTTTATCAGCAATACGTATTTTTTCTTTTTAAATGCTGTAGTGTTACGTCTATGATAAAATGGTTACAGTCGAAACCAGTTGACAATGGAGAGGTTGCCGAACCACTGCAAAAATTTACAAATAATTTTATAGCGTCTGCTAGAGAACAACTTGAAGACGGGTAGGTGCAAGACTTCCATTGAAACTTTCGATTTTTGAAATTTAGGCATTCTTGTACCGCAGTATCGCATACTTCCTATTATGTAACGTTTTAGCGAGGATGAGAACATTTTCAAGACCCTTTGGTACGACCCAAACTACAAGGTACATGACTTGTGTGAGAAGTCGAACTCTGGAGGACAAACAGGCGAGCTGATATGGTTGGTTCATAGTATCGTTCATCGTTCGCTTTTTTGGTAGTTTTCCTCTCGTGTTGAGCCAAAAGTGTTACTCTAATTGCTTTCATAAGTAACGCAATCGTGCAAGAATGCAGCAGCTGGAACCCACCTACGTCTCTGAGCTAGTACTAGTGACTTTTGCTGCGCGATTTACTCCTTCATCCGCCATCTAAGGTGGCATCGTCACCAACCGGCTGGAGATTATTCGGGGAGAGAGGAACCTCGGTTAAGCGCTTTTGTGGAGTTAGATAATTCATAATAATAGCATATTATATATGAAGATAATTATGATATACTTCGGCTAAACCGAATGTGAGCCTTTATAGATGCTACCGTTTATCAACAAAAGTTAATATTCACTGCTTAAGACGAGGACTTTAAGGAGTAGCTAAAAGATTTTGCTACATAGTGATATGTTGTATATGAAGTTTGCATTTACACTACAGCTTACTACAAACCAGTCGGATCGCCCGGCTTACGCCGTGCCTCATTCCTTACTTTACAAAAGTAGTTAGAAAATGTAGTTGGAAGCCTTTCGAGGGGAGGAGCGCCGGGGTGAGGATGAGAAAATTACCTCATGTGGAAAGCTATGATGCGTTATGAGTTGGATGTTCAATTGACTCACCTTGTTGTCTAGACATACATAGCACGATGCCAGTACAGATCGAAATCACCACTTCGAAATATCCACTTCGCATTTCTTACTTCACCCCGCAGTACTTACTCTACTCCACTAACCTACCCACCAAGTTACTGATCACTACTCTTATCGTAATCACGAAATTTTGCGGACGTACAGACCGACAAACCGACAAACCTATACCAACCGACACACCAAGTTACTGCTCTATAAATAAGAGAGATAGAGCGCGGTGGTGTGTTAGTAAAGTAAGGTGCATGAACGTATTATTTAGGGATAGAATACATCAGAATATTTTTTCACCTTTGCATAATTCATTGATAATCATATTTTTCCAAGGACGGAACCTGGAGATCGCCTCCTCAAAGTTATCGGCAATGGCGTGGTGAAGGACGGTTACAACATGTTCCTAGCACCCGGTCAAGCTCAAGGTGAGCTTTATAATAATCTTTGGATTCTTATGCTCATCTATCATCATTATTTCCTTTTCTGTTTCGGATTAAGCCATCGGTGGTGAAGGAAGCGAGAAAATTCGCCGATTTGCAAAAAATGCGGTTCTTCAAAGGTAGTGAAAATAGAGGTTGTACTAGGCTACCATGAATTATGTAAAGAGGATTCGGACGAGACTTCAGTAGCTGCACGTGCGCAAAGAGCTGACTGCATTGAGCCAAAATATTCCGGAGTTGCCTTGGGTTATGAGAAGTTGTTTGAACTTCTTCCAGGATTTTCCTTGTGAATGGGTAAGCCCTACAAGGCCGTTGAAACTCGTCCGCGCATACACATGCAACAATCTTTGAGCATTTATAATGCCCTAACCAGACCGTTTTCCGACCTAACAGCGCCACATAGGGATTACGAGGGGGCCACAGATTTGCCTTATGCCATTTTTATCGTTTCACGTTGAAAACGGTTTCTGAGACTTTAACCTTTCATATACCTGTGACCTCCAAGGATAGTTAATGGACGCGGTGGGGTTAAAAAACTATCCGTATGCGGCGTGATGATTGCACTGAAATCGGTTTAGCCGATACGCCTGAAACGGACGGATTTCTAAGCATTGCAATAGCACCATTCGCACCGGGACCGACACTTTGCACGCAAGCAGTTTATTGCAGCTAGCTGTAACAATGGCTCGCGCATCTGGAAGCTCGTTCAAATGCTTCAATGCAACTCGTGTCGTCACATTCTCGTCCAACCCTTCTTACTTCTTTTGGAAGCCTTATATTTGTTTGAGTACGCCGATATCGCGTTTTCTTCGCCACTTTGCTCTACACTGGACTATCACCTCCATTTCTCGACTAAAACTAGATCCGCTGAATTATCGTGAGCTGTGCCTTTACATACAAGAAGAGACTTTTTGTAGAAATCGTTCGGATGTTATCCTCTTCAAATGAAAGCGTGAAATGACCTTTTCCTGCTAAACTTTCTGTCCCATGATTTCAGGACGCCGAACGGATGTCCACGTGGCTGTGTACATAGAATCAATGTCATCGTTCAAGGCTCAAACAATGGTAATCTTTCTCAAGAAATAATCAAAAGTTCTCTACAGAACAAAGTTACTCAATTGAAACGTACTTCAGGATTTCGAAGTAGACATGTACTTGGCAATGGGATGGTTCGACAGACGCTTAGCTCACAACTGTACGCACCCTATTCTCGTAACCAGTAAGGTAACTACCTTCCGCCGTCCTTCTTCAATGCAACTGTCACAAATTACCAAACTCTGATCGATATCATTTCAGTTAATAGCCGATCGAATGTGGCACCCAGATCTTTATTTTGTTAATTCTAAATTCGCTTATCTACAAGAGGTCACCACTCCTAACCTGATGGTGATCGTCTATCCAGATGGCCTTATTTTTAAGTCAATGAGGTAACGAGAATTCGAAGATCATTTTTTTCACTTAAGCCGTGGAATGGTTGGTTATAAAAAAGTGGATTTCAGACTTGATGTAACGCTCAGTTGTATGATGGACCTGAAACTGTTTCCGATCGATCATCAAGAATGTCCTCTGAAAATCCAGAGTTGTAAGTGATTAACCATCATATTACTGTTACACTTTATCGGTAAGCAAATAATAGCTTGAAAAGACCTAATGCACAGATACTTATCTCTGGGATAGGGGCCGCTTATGGAATAGGATTATTTGGCAGAAGTGGGGCTGGACGAAAATAAGACCAGAAAAATGAAGAAAAAGGGGTGTGTGGAAGGGCTATACAATGTGTGTCACTGCGTATTGGGGGTCCTGGAACGAATAGCTCACTACAGTAGGCGGAAATGCCTTTCAAAACTCACTCACTCATAAGCATAAGGTAACAGAAACAATAACAGCAAAAACAATCCACCTTTTCCATCCTTCAAGGTAGAGGTTTGAAAAAATGACTGCAGCAGCTAAAAAAATAACAGAGATCAAAAGAATAGGAGCAAAACATCTCCTCACCACTCGGCGATTACATGCTGAACGTGTGGGTCTTGATGCGAATAGTGCAACCTTTATCGACTCGCTTGACGCATCATCGATGGACGTGGTCGTCGACGAGTCCGGTAGTGAGGCTCAAATAATGCCCTATCTATTGAATTTTTCGTCCCAACAGCGCCCTTTTTGTTCTTGTAGAGTGAGATTTTGAACATTGTTTATTCTTTCAGATGCATATATTGAACAAATTGTAAATTTGACATGGCACGTGGCACCTCCCTATTTCCCCGTCGGTTCCAATGAGGAGATCAAGCTCAATGATATGGCTATCACTCGAACTCGCTATGAGAAGTGTGCTGGACCATACCCAATGTTCCGCGGATCAGGTATTGCCTCGTCATCATTCTAATAATAAAGCATTCAAAAATCTGCCTGGTCTGATTTCCCTCAAGGTAACTTTCTTCATGGTAAAATGGTATTCATAAAACAACGCATAATACTTGTTTCCATTTGGTCAAAAAAGCGGCATGAAACCGGATAGGGATCGAGACCTATGGGATGTGATATTGTAACGGTTCTGCCTGGACAGAATAATATGTCAATATTCAATAATGAGTAGTTTTTTGAGAGAGAATAAGGGTAAAAATGTCGAAGTAATACATCTAGGCACCTCGGGTTATGAGTGATCAGGCCTGATATGAGAAGGTTGCTTTAGGAAAGGAAGAGGAAGCCCTCTTCGCTCAGTAGAGACCTTGATTCGCTCTAACTTTTGCTCTACAGCATTGTCGCGCCTCAAGAAATTGTGAAAATCATGCAAGGAGAGGACCGCCGCGATGTTTCAGAATTCAGTTATCTCTATATAGAAAGCGCTAGCTTTGTGTGTGTTTGTATGTCGTTCTGTATGTCAGTCTGCAAAGAGTACTTGGGCACGATGAAGAGCGCGAAATGTCGCGTGGGGCGGTGATGAAGCAGTTATAAAATAGAAAGTCTACCGATACATGATTTCCCAACAAACTCAGATCATTTTGTGACGTCATTGACTGATTGGGAGAGCATAGTTTCCTTTCTTCTGTAGAAAGAACCTCATTCAGTTCTCTTCAATCACAAGAAGATCAAACCTCCAGAGGAGAGAAGGTAAGTTAGGAAAACTCCTCTTCGGCATCTGTTGCTACCAGGCGTCATCAAACACTATGCTGACTGTTTTCCATCACATCTCCGCGTTATCCCCTACAAGTAAATTTGAGCGAAATCTTGAAATAAACGTTATTGAAAGCTACGTACTCAGAGGAACCCTCTACTCTTGAGTACTTCATCCTCGAGACGTAATTTCCAGTAATGTAACCTAACTGGAGTTCTGGTTAAAGCAGTATCGTGTTACGGAGCACGAAGAATATTATTATGTATTATAGTTCTTGGATAAGACCCTAGATAAGCGGTCGTGGACATGTGATGCACGCGTTAGCGTTTTCGCCCGACTGTTGTTATAAACGCTAGTTTCCGGCGTTTCAAAACATATTCCAGGTGCTGCGCAGCTCCTGCGGCATACACATTGCATAAAATTCATCACAGGCCAAAAAACTACATCAGAACTGAAGGAAATATAGAAGCATCATCGGTTCCTTTCACTCGAAACAGGGGCTTCTCACTAATAATGGAATATGCCCGCGATATCGATTTCATCGGAGTTCATGGGTGCAGAAGGACAGCGACCGTCATCACACTTGAGCACGATTAAGAGTTCTGGATGATAGCTTGGCAGGCCCACCAAGTTCGACGAAGTCCATCTTTAGGAAGGCTCCAGGTTTGTTGAGCAACAACAAAAGAAGAAAGTACAAAGTGAGCGGATTACGAATGGCAAAAACTCAGCACCGAGACGATCTATTCTTCAAATCTGTGGAAGATTGCCCCAGGGCTTTTCCGAACTGACTGAAAGCAATGTCAGACCCTTAGAACCAACCTTTTGGAGCGAACTATTCCTAATTTAGCAAATTTAATCAAATTTGAAGAGCTGGAATTATAGTAGTACAGTGAGTCGTGTGGAACACTATTCACATCACTACTAATCTTTTCTCTCTTCTCTCATCCCTAAAAGCGTGAGCGGTGATACAGTGGCTCAAATGATAGAGCCCTAACCAACTGTAATTCACCAAAGGTGATTGGCCACTTNTGGCTCAAAAGATAAAGCGCTAACCTACTGTAATTCACTAAAGGTGATTGGCCACTTGGCTTGTCCGGCCTTTGTCGGGGAGTACCAGAGTGGAAAAGTAGTTAACGATCACTACCGCTCTCAAAACACTAATCAACGAAAGTTATGTGTTTAGTTTTTGTTACATTTATAGGTTCTCATGTTTTGTTTTTGTTTTATTTTTAGGAGGTAATGCAAGGAATGCCTCAATGTTCACGGTAATTGCCCACCACCCACAGGCTTCACAGTGTTTGTAGTATGTAATGTGTGCTGCCAGCATGTTTTAATCTAGGAGTGTTGTCATGGTCTGCCGTCATTTTGTTAATTTCTGGAGAAGATACGATTTTTCTACTATCAAGATCTGTATCGTCGAGCTTACTTCGCCGGGACAACAATCTCTCCACAAAATATTCAAGTTTCCACGTTCTTAGTCAACCCAGTGGCATGAACCATGAGGCGAAGCAAGGGGGTACACGCTCGCACTGGTGGGGTGGTCGTACAAGAGGCAGTTGATCGTTTTTGCTGCTCTGATACGAATAGGCTTCCCCGTCGCGGTTTTCAGGGCGACATGTATCACAGAGCAACACAAGGGCAATGTTAGAATGTGAGGTCCTGCTTTTGTTCATTTACATGTGATATAAATGTTGTAATAGTTTTAGTGGGCAAAAATGGTATGCGCGTCCCTCACACACATGACTGGTTACTCTGAAAACCACTGATTCAAGGTACGTAGTTTGCGAAGAATCGAAAAGCGCAACTCCCACTGAGCGTTTCCAGAGGCGTCCGTAGACCTTTGTTAATTGTAGAGCGTGATATGCGTTTTCAACATTACAATACATTCACAACTGATCACGTATCTGGGTGAAGCGTATTCCATCATCCCATGTACTTACGTTTCTGCCAGTCCCCGCTTTTAGGGACAGGTCCTGAAGCTATTTTTGTTCGTTCGCATAACATAAATACAGAAAGAAGAAAGAGCATTGCCCTTCCCGCTGCGATGTGAAGACAGCGAGCGCTTTTTCGCTATGGAAAAGGAGCGCTGTACTATCGATCCGGTAGTTCACCCCTTCATAGATGACAGTCATTTCAACTGTGTGCGGTACTGTCATCCATCGTGACCAATGCTTTTGAGACTGTAAGAATAATTTACGTGAAGATGAGAGATAGAAATAAGGTGGTAAGCTTTTAATCAGCTGCAAAAAAACAAATCGTAGTGATGAAGAGAAGAAAACTCTAGTCCCTGGAACTAGTTCCTAGGAATGTGCAGATAATCTTCTTTTTTCCATGATTCTACCATGACGAGCTGTAATTTAGAGTGGGCATCAGAGGAAATTGCAAAATCGGCTGCTCTGAGAGTTTGCGAAGCGGGAAGCTAGGGTCCGCGCCTGGTTAGTGTAAAGGGGTTTATTTTGATTACAAGACGATACCCAGAATCGAGTGGGCGTTGAGCTTCCACGAGATCCGACTCCGACTCGTTCTTTCTATGAGAAAAACGAAAAACGTCTGATCAGCTCGTCATCTTCTTCCGCTTCTTCTTAAGCGTTTGTCTCACTCATAAGTGGGGTTCGCTTTCCTGGTGTTATTTCTGGTCAGTTCATCTCAAACATGCTCCCCTAGAGTGTGTCGACCGCGCGCGCGTTATATTGCTCCATCCCAAAATATGAGAAGTTGTCGTAATGTGCTCGACAAATGGTGGATTTCAAATCAGAAGCTTTCAAGATAATTCAGGCATCTTCGAACTAGCCTGTTAAGGCACATTTGCAGATCGATTTAAACTTTTCCGAAAAACGCTGATCAGCTCGTCATCTTCTTCCGCTTCTTCTTAAGCGTTTGTCTCACTCATAAGTAGGGTTCGCTTTCCTGGTGTTATTCCGATCGAATGCTTGATCGGGATGAATACAACCAATTTCAAGTCCTCGTACAATGTGTCAAGAAACGCTGCGCTTGCTCGTCCTTTGCACCATTTTTGAGGCCTTCCGTTGCGGCGATTTCGTTTCAATAACCGCGAGGCGTACTTCGAGTTCTCTACTTACAGACCAGTACTTCACGCCGTGAATGACAACTGGTCTTGTGACAGTCTTCTGGGTCTTTCTTTTGAGGTACTCTGGTATTTTCTTGCCACAGAAAACATCAGTCATTGGGTCCATTTAGACCAGCCGGCACCGATACGTGAACTAACCTCGAAGGTCAGACTACCGCCAGTTTACGAATCCGAAGTGCATGAAGGTAGATGTACGCGGAAGCTCAGTGTTGCCAAGACAGTGCCCTGTTCTTTTGACTCATTGACTTTGTAATACTCTGTCTTTTTGACGTTCCGTCGGAGTGTGAACATTGCCCGAAGGTCGGACCAGGGTTGCACCTGTTACTCAAGTACCTTCTTTCCTTCGCAAGCCAGCATCACGTCGTCTTCATAAAGAAGTGTTCGAGGCGGTAAATTCCAAAGATATCTTGTGATGGCATTCATGATGGCAATAGTACTAAAGAAAGCGCTGAGCCTCTATATAAAACGACGAAGATGAGAAATGGCAAAGGTATCTGCTGCTGATTGCACTCGACTCGTTTCATTCAATCACCGTTGACTCCCATTCCCACTCGATTATTTCTTCGGGTAATCCGTGCTGTGGCAGGACATGGTATATAACTTCACGAACACGATCAAAACCGTTCGCTCAGTCTGATTAAGCGAGATGCACTGTTCTTCATTTCTTGCAATGCTTTTCTAGCAAGAGACGAATAGAATGTATTGCGTCGGTGGTGATGCTTCTGTAGACAGGACTGCATTGGTTACGGAGAGCTGGACCAACACTCGAATACGGCCATTCTTTCACTGTGCGGGAGCAGACGGATCGCACGATAGCTCATGCAGTCTGCAGAGTTGCCCTTCTTCAGCTGCCCTGATCGGATTGTGGTACTCTGTCGCCAACTCCCAACCAACTTTCTGTGTCTACCTAACTATAGAACTTCGCCAGTCATCCTGGCGGATCCAACACCGCAATCTTCACACATTAGCTGCCAAGCCATTTCTGTCAGTTGCCTTGCCCAACGTCATTTTTTCACAAATATTCCCGTTTCGTCCACTGTTGTCTTCTGTGCGATACTATTCGCAATGCGCGACGTAGAGAGGGCTGAGCAAATGCTACTGCCGAGTTTTCCGTGAAGTAATGCTGCCAGTGTTCTTTTGCAGTCTATTAGAAGATAGGCATTTTAGTAGTTGTTTCTCGACATCATAGATTTGGTCATGGGCAGCTCCAGCAAGACGGTGAATATATTTATCACAATCACGCATCTCGAGTTTCTCGC